GATGCAACTAAGGGCTCATTCACAAGTGCAGCAGGCAGTACTACTCTTCTGCCAAGTGATCCAAGTATGTTTGACCAGTAGTGAGGAGGTGATATGTTGCCTCCTCACCACTTGATTTAAGCCCATGATTGCCATGCAATGCATGTGATTGTGATAAGGCAGTAACGCAAATAAAAGAGGTTTAAATCAGGTGTGAGGAGGCGACACTGTGCCCCACACTGTGCCTGGGAGACCTTTGACTTCTCCCATGTTGTTCAGGTAGATTTCCACCTCTTTAAGGTTGCCCACCCCTGATCTAGAGTGTATGCAAACCAGAACAATTAACTTCTATCTCCTAGATTGTAAGCTCCGAGGATCAGGCCCTCAACTCCCTCTTTGAACTGTATTGTTACTGTATTGTCTCCCACTACAATGTAAAGCACTGAGCAAACCATTGGCGCTATATAAATCCTGTATAATAATAATAATATCTGCTACCTTTTTGTCTAACACAATTAAAAATGTTTTGTTCTCTCACCCTCTACCCTCCTAACACATCTCCTGTCCTAGAGCTTGTTTACACTTGTGGTCCCCTCTGATGAGCAATCCATGATGAATCATTCTTCCACAGATACAGTACAGTGATTAGGCGTTGTCACCCTAGAATGGGAAGTGTGTTATTGGCAGGATAACAAAATGAAAACAAATAGAAAAAAGCCTGAAAAAAATAAAACTAATGCAATCACCACATCTAAAGCTGCCCTATATGACATGTCTGCGCTCGTTTTTGGATTCACTGCTACAATAAAGTTTTTGCTTGAGAAAGGTCCTCCCATATCAACTCTAAAAACAAAGAAACTATTTGCTGATCAACAAAAACAGTTCCATGTTTAACACTCATCTCTGGTCAGCAAAACCCATTTCCTCATCTGATTAGTAAAAAAAAAGCAGCCGCCTAATCTCCATTTCCTCCAAGACAGAGACACTTGTGAGGCTCCATAGCAGCAGGAGGTGGCTAGCATCCAAACCTGGTATTAGCCAAAGGTCACTTCAACAAAGAACAGAAACACTCTGGAAAACCTGGCCTCTTTGCATATCTATTCCGGACATGGAGAGTTTCAGTTGAGACACTGTTGGGGAAACAAACTCCAAGGCTTTAGTAAAGGAGCACATTCTAAGGTGCCTCTACCTACAATATCAAAAATGTATACAGGTAGCTGCAGCTGAGAACTTTCCACATAGCATAGTTAAAGCAGAGATCAGAGAACATTTTATTTTTGCCCGTGCAGTGGGGCTGTGTACACACTGCACGAGTTTACTGCTCGTTTTGCACTACGGGAGAGGCCAGCGGCGATATACTTCCCTGAACTGGAAATCCTCCCCGCACAAGATCAGTCCCTTCGGCTCCTGTCCCCCTGTGATCCAGTAGTCTTGTAAATGGACTGTTCCTGACATCAGCACTCTCCATAGACCGGAACAGTCCACTGCTGGACCGTGGGGGAGGACAGTTTTCCAGAGGATCGGCAGGTCAGGCGAGTATGAGCTTTGTCCTCACCCCTAGAAAAATGAGCAGCTGATCTATGCAGTGGGGGCCCAGACCCACTGCATGGTAGAAAAAAAAATTTGACCAGGTTTCTTCTTTAAGTACACCACTTTCCAGGCTTTGTTCTATCAGGTGCACTCTGCAGGGTGGCTACTGTGGGGATTGTGTTGAAATCTAGACTTTGCATAGTGCAGCAGTTTAATGCATTGTAGAACACCACTAATAGGAGGTACTATGGAAATAAAATCAAAAGTCAAAATGTAAAAGTGAGCGCTATTCAGTCCAGCAGCTGTACACTCAAGCCAACAAAACCTTAGTACAAAGTAACATAAAAATAGTGCAGCGCTTTATAGAAATAATTCTCAATGAAAAATAAAAAATAGTCCCCAGAATTCCAGACAGTGAAGGTTCCTTATACTAAATAGAAGAAGTGCCCACTCACTGTGCACTTGATATAGTGCGGTATATAAAATGCTCCTTGGTGTCACTAGGTAACACATCATCAGCGGGCAGAAGGGCTTCCCTCACGATGAAAGGTCCGGGATAACAGGTATTAATGCTCCCCAGAGTTCCCCTTAAGAGATGTGTGGGTGTTGCTCTTATGGTGAAGGAGCCTCCCTCCTTAAACTCGGAAACCGGCTTGCAATATGAACCACTTCTTGACATCCTCCCAGAACGTGTGTGCCCACTCTGTGATCGATGTGTCCTTTGGACACAGCTGATCACATAACTATGGAAATATTTCTTCCATCTGGCTGCCTCTGTGTGTACTGTTCAATCACTTAAGCCGAACTATACTCACCTCCCCTCCCCTCCTCCAGCAATGCAACATTTCCTAGCTCTTTCGCCAGCACCAACAAATTCAGCTGGTCTCCTTATAGGTTCAGAATATTTGACCACCTTTATTACCTGTGCTGGGATGATGTAACCCCTATGTATGAACGGGTGTTCATTCATCCTGGTATATGCCAATATATAGGTTATCCCAAATAGGAAGATCTCAAACGTCTACAATGAAATCAGCAAGCAGAGCACCAAATGATCATCTCAAAAGTCTATCATCTTTTATTGTAAGTGACAGAGTGACCACAGGAAGAATAGTGGTAGCCAAACTGTTTCAGGGGCCAAACAATACCTCTTCTTCAGTGCTTGGACATAATGTCAGAGTTTCTCAGATGTAGGGGCGGACTGACCATTTGGAAACTCGGGCACTGCTCGAGGGCCCGGGGTCAGTAGGGGGCCCCATGAGTACCTTTTTCATAAGCTTTTTTGAGTTTGGACAAGGACACAGGGGCCCCATGATCCCCTACTGCCCGGGGGCCCCATGAGTTGTCAGTCCGCCGCCCTGCATGTCATTTTTCAGGGGGGGGGCAGCGCCGCCCCCCCCCCCCCCCCTCCCGAAAGCAGTGGCACACAGGAGACATTATGTTTGCAGGCTTGCAGCAGTCTCTGCTACGTGGGATCCGATCCGCGAAGACGGTGGCCGCCGGATCTGCAGGGCACAAACAGGCCGGAACAGGTAGAGAGGAGAACGAGGTAGGAGCCTTCGCTCGAACAGTACTGCCAGGAAATGGGCAGAGTTTGGCTCTGCCCATTGTCTGTGCTTTGATCTGGGGGAGCAGAGGGTGCCGAGTGTGGATAGGAGAAAGAGCCCGGCCTGATGGAGGAGAGACGCTGACTGGTGATGTGGATGGGGGGGAGGCACACAATTTCTGTGTTGCCTAGGGCAGCACAAAACCTAAATACACCACTGCTCAGAAGTAACTGTGTCATATAAATTGGCTTGTATTGCAGATTCTTCATAGTTAGCACTTCCGCCTGGCAGTGCTAGGGTCGTTGGTTCGAATCCCAACCACGGCACCACCTGCCTGGAGTTTGCATGTTCTCCATGTGCCTGCGTGGGTTTCCTTTTGGAGTACCCGTTTTCCTCCCACACTCCAAAGACATGCTGGTAGGTTAATTGGATCCAGTCTAAATTGGCCCTAATATGTGTATATATGAACATGAGTTAGGGACCCTAGACTGTACGCCCCTTGAGGGTTAGGGACTGATGTGAATGTACAATATATATGTAAAGCGCTGCGTAAATTGACGGCGCTATATAAGTACCTGAAATAAATAGAGAAGTTACTCTTCATTAATTTGTAACTAAAGATAATTTTTTTGTTTTAGTTTTAGATAGAGTGAGGATGCCTTTGCTGACCTTTTTGTTTTGCCATTGACTTCGATTCCCTCACTGGCAGGCAGCTGGCAACACTGGGCCCATATAGGTCTTAGGACAGGTCATCTGCACAAACTCTGCTGTCCTCAGGGCAGTGCATACATAAAGATCTGCACTAATGAGACCGATCACTTGCGTTGTACGCACACAGCGAACAGGCTGTTGTGAGCACACATTCACACAAAGAACAAAATCTCATCTGACGCTCTGTAAGTAGGCAATGATCACCAAGTAACATGACCTATATGCTGCAATAATATACATTTCTGTTTTATCCTCTTATTGGTAAGGGGCAGAGACACCAATAATTATAAGGACCTGTGTAGTTGGGCTTTGGCCCTGTGATCAGTGTCATACACTTCTGAGATCATTCAGAATACATTGACAGGTGTATCTGGCCCTTGGTTGGCGCCCTCTGTCCTGAATTTTGCCTGCTTCAAGCAGGATTTGACTTCCCATAGACTTTTATGGAAGTGTAGCCCATCAAACAAGTCCCTAAAGTACATAAGAAATTAGCAAAAAGAAAAAAAAAAAGAAGGATGGCTAAAGCAGGACCTCCATGGTTATCCAGGCACAAAAATACCTTGGCCATGGAAGGGTTAACTGGGCAAAATTAAATTTTAAAAAAAAGAAATCACTTGAGAAATGTGGACAATTTCCAGGAAGGATCGTCCACTCTAAATAAAGCTTTAACTGCTATAAAATCTAAAGAGATGGAAAACAAAAGGAAATATTTTATAAACAAGACAAACCCGGCTCTCTCACCATCCGTACTTAACTAGAATGGAACAACAAAGTCAACCACAGAGAAGCATGCTTCCCCTAATGGAGACAAACAATCACCGCCTGATTATTCATCAGCTAAATTCAATGATTAATTTGAACCGAGGAGCCCTGAATGTTTCCTGATGAAACTTGAATTTGTACAGCTAGCTGTGATACCAAGTAACTGCAATGATTACATTCAGCATTAGGTGGGAATAGTGGACTAGACATCTATTATATCCTAAAAGTATTTACCTGCTCGATATTGCACAGAGCAGTCCCTTGATGCTTCTTTGGTGGTCCACTGCAGGTGCTCTCTGTTCTCTTTTGAGTGCCTCCACAGCAAGCCGTGTGCTATGGGGCCATTCTTGTGAGCATGCTCCTGAGCCAGGCTGTGTGCATCCACAGACACACAAAGAGCGGCATGGCCATGCCCCCAGCTCCCAACTTACAAGATTTGAATAGCAACAGCAGAAGCCTATGGCTCCCACTGCTTTCAGTGTATCCAGGAAGAAAGAAGAGTGGGGCTGATGCAGGGGTGAACTGACCATTTGGAAACTCGGGCGCTGCTCGAGGGCCCGGGGTCAGTAGGGGGCCCCATGAGATGCCCCCGGTACCTTTTTCATAGGCTTTTATGAGTTTGGGCAAGGACACGGGCCCCATGATCCCCTATTGCCTGGGGGCCCCATGAGTTTTCAGTCCGCCCCTGAGCTGAGGGACGGGACAGCAGCTGAATCATGAGAAGTGTCATGTAGGTGTTTAGAGAGGGGGAGTGGACAAATAGAGGGGTGTTTTTTTTCTTACTGAAGGGAAAGCATTAAGGCTAAAAATACATACACCTTGGACCTACTTTAACCTTTTGCCCACCAGGTAATTAACTCCCACATGCCACACATCTGTGTGTGGTGGCTCAAGGCACGCTACCAGCACAGTGAACAAAGCTGTCACAAGATAGCTCCAGGTCTCGGTTTGTGATTATTTGACCACTATGTCTGCCAATGACAGTGATCGTGTGTCCACACCACCACCTGGCATTAAGACCCAGTAAAAGGTCCACCGGCAGGGCCAGAAAGAGGTTAAAGCAGGCATTCTTCCTTTAATAAACCACAAAAAAACAAAGAAATATCTATAGGAAACCAAAAAGGGAGAGATTTTCTAAAACTGGCACGTGCAATATCTGGTGCAGCTCTGCATAGAAAACAATCAGCTTTCAGGATTGATTGTCAAAGCTTAATTGAACAAGCTGAAGTTAGAAGCTGGTTGGCTCCCATACACAGCCGCACCAGATTCTAAATGCTACAGTTTTAGTAAATCTCCCCATAATACAGCTGTGGCCAAAAGTTTTGAGCATGATATATTGAAATGTATATGAAATATTATAAATATTAATTTTCACAAAGTCTGCTGCTTAAGTGTTTTTTTTTTGTCAGATGGTACTATGTTATACTGAAGTATAATTACAAGCATTTCAAGTGTCAAAGGCTTTTATTGGCAATTACATGAAGTTTATGCAAAAAGTCAATATTTGCAATGTTGACCCTTCTTTTTCAAGACCTCTGCAATTTTCCCTGGCATGCTGTCAATCAACTTCTGGGCCACATCCTGACTGATGGCAGCCCATTCTTGCACAATCAATGCTTGGAGTTTGTCAGAATTTTTTGTTCACCAGCCTCTTGAGGATTGACCGCAAGTTCTCAATGGGATTAATGTCTGGGGAGTTTCCTGGTCATGGATCCAAAATGTCAATGTTTTGTTCCCCAAGCAACTTCGTTATCACTTTTGAATGGCATTGTTCATCACCAAACTGATCTTGGATGGTTGGGAGAGGCTGCTCTTCAGAGGATTTTTTTGTACTATTCTTTATTCATGGCTGCAAAATTGTGAGTGAGCCCACTGCCTTGGTTGAGAAGCCACCCCACACATGAATGGTCTCAGGATGCTTTACTGCTGGCATGACACAGAACTGATGGTAGTGCTCACCTTTTCTTCTCCCGACAAGGTTTATTCCAGATGCCCCAGACAATCGGAAAGGGGATTCATCAGAGAAAATGACTTTACCTCAGTCCTCAGCAGTCCAATCCCTGTACCTTTTGCAGAATATCAGTCTGTCCCTGATGGTTTTTCCTGGAGAGAAATGGCTTCTTTGCTGCCTTTATAGCACCAGGTCATCCTCCAAAAGTCTTTGACTCAATATGCGTGCAGATGTATTCACACCTGCCTGCTGCCATTGCTGAGCAAGCTCTGCACTGGTGGTGCCCCGATTCTACAGCTGAATCAACTTTAGGAGATGGTCCTGGCACTTTCTGAACTTTCTTGGGAACCCTGAAGCCTTCTTTACAACAACTGAACCTTGCTCCTTGAAGTCCTTGATGATCAGATAAATGGTTGATTTAGGTGCAATCTTAGTAGCAGCAAAATCCTCATCTGTGAATCCCTTTTTGTGCAAAGCAATGACGACTTCCACATGTTTCTTTGCAGGTAACCATGGTTAACAGAGGAAGAACAATAATTACAAGCACCACCCTCCTTAAAGCTTCCAGTCTGTTAGTCTAACTCAATCAGCATGACAGAGTGATCTCCAGCCTTGTCCTCGTCAACACTGACACCTGTGTTACACCCCGGTCACATCGGGTGCAACTTGGCATGCGATTTACTTGCCAGGCGACTTGAAAATCATATGCCAAGTCGCACCCTATTGTCCGCTATTAAAGCGGTCATATCGGTGCAGTTCCGACTTGGTCAGAGCCACACCGATTTCTAAAGTAGTGCATGCACTACTTTTGATGCGATTTGCATAGACATCTATGTCAGATGTCTTGCAAACCGCAATTGAAGATCGGCAGGTCTCCCGATTTTGACTGTAAGTCGCATGATTTCAAAATCAGCTTTGATGTGACCAGGGGCTAAAACGAGAGAATCACTGACATGATATCAGCTGGTCCTTTTGTGGCAAGGCTGAAATGCAGTGTAAATGTTTTTTTGGGATTAAGTTCATTTTCATAGTAAAGAAGGACTTTGCAATTAAATGCAATTTATCTGATCACTGTTCATAACATTCTGGAGTATATACAAATTGCCATCATAAAAACTGAGGCAGCAGACTGTGCGAAAATTAATATTTATGTAATTCTCAAAACGTTTGGCCACGGCTGTATTGCTTAACCTCCCTAGTGCTATTCCCGAGTGTAGCTCAGGGTAAAATTTCAGTACCAAAAGCGGTAACCCCGAGCTACACTCGGGGTTACCATGCGGCGCTGCATAGGGAGTCCCTGCAGAGCTTACCTTGTCCTTCGCTCCCGCGATGTGTCCCCTGCCATCTCCTCCGGCTGATGCCGGCATCCCGGCTTCTATGTGTCCGGTTCTGTGTTCCGGTCCCTGTGACAACGGGACGTACGGGCGCCGCCGAGAAATTAGAAAATTAAAAAAAAAAATGTCATTTTTTTCAAAACGAATTTTACATAGTAAAACATTGCTGTTTCAACCCATTTCACATACATTTTGTCCCGAGTGCTTTGTCCTGTGCCCTGTCTGCATTTTTTACAGTTCTTTCTGCCTGGAAACTTAGAAAAGTCCATGGCGTCCAAAAAGCGTCCCTTTAGGTCAAAAGCGGGTTTAGATCAGCTAGAGAACAGCGATAGTAAATCAGAACCACTTGCAGAATTGAGTGATAATGATTCGTGGAGAAATTCCTCATCAGACACTGAAAACAATTTTGTGACTTTGCTCAGCAATGTGTGAACTTGGCACTAATCCCTGGGTGAGCGATCCTCATTTCAAATTTCAGTGTTTTTGGTTTGATTATATTATTGAATTAAATGTATTATTATATATATTATTTTTTATGATTATTTATTAAATTATAATTTATGATTTTGTGTTTCAAATTTTATTACCGGGGAGATGTTTAATAAGACACTCTGTACGGGGACAAATTTCCGTGAGTTATATCTAATATTCTATATGGTGTGCAATCTTGTGAGCTATTAACTGACTCCAATAGGTGTGTTCAAAATACTTAATATATACTAATCCTTTAATGTGTGGTGCGCTGGACACTTGCAACTCCACTTAGTGGTGTCAAATCAATATAAATGGTATTTAAAGTGCCGCGCGCTCCTATTATTGTGCATATGTATCTCTAAATCCACTCTACGCTTGTTAAACTCAATCAATGAATATATAAATCATAATAATATAATCATGAGTGATAAACCATAAATTAATCAATTCAATGAAATTATTACCAGTGAGTTACCAATACACACATCATAACCTAGATGTGTGTATTTTATCATACCCGGGATGTTTAATAGACTCTTGTTCGGCCTGTACAAATTTCCGTGAGTTATTCCTAAATACAGCCTACAATAAAAAAACGACATATTTCCATGCAAAATAATGGTACCAGCCTTTCAGCACAAAAAATCGGAAAGAATCATACACGCTAGGGAGGTTAACATTGTCTGTTTCTTGTTGCTTTTCCCACACCCACTGGCCTTAATATATTTCCCGTAGCTTTGAAACCCTACGCCACCATCAAAAAAGTCATTGCACACCAGATTCTTCTCCCCTGTTCTTTGTGTTGGCCCCCGTACTGATGATGTCTCATGCTTTACGAGACCTGGAGCAGTTTGGTATTGATTATATCGCCATGCCAAAAGCCTGTTTCCCCAAGATCTCATAAAATTTTGGAAATCCCAAAAGATTTCACACATGAGAGCTCCTTGGAAGGCACTAGTGACACAGCTTTCCCAGGGAGCAATGGGGAGGCCCTGGCTACATCACCAGTGCCTCAGAAACATGCGAAGGTGATGAATAAAGGAGATAAAGTGGTCTCACAATTTATATATGCCAAGCAGAAAGTCAGGTAATAATTTTCATTGAATTGATTAATTTATGGTTTATCACTCATGATTATTATTATGACTTTAATATATTCATTGATTGAGTTTAACAAGCGTAGAGTGGATTTAGAGATACATATGCACAAATAATAGGAGCGCGGCACTTTAAATACCAGACAAAGTGTACAATCACACAAATAACATGACATGACAAAATTGTGATTATATATCAACACGAAGAGTTGCACGTGCCTGTGCTTTTTACGTTTGGGGGTGGGGAACAGGTAGCCTAAAAGAGAAACTACCCAAGGCAAAGTGACGGTTTCTGCACATAGTTCCCCCAGGCATGTACACGTGGACTAAAAATAGGCAGAAACGGTCAGTTTGGCAGGAACTGTCCAACGTTTGGCCTGTATGTACAGCTGTCTGTCAAAAGCCAGTCTCCCGCTGGCTCCTGTTTGAACAAGCATGGTTAAAAACCAGCACCCAACCAGCATCTGATAATCACTCTCAGCCAATGGCTGCAAGCACTGATCAGTGAATCCTGGTGGGGGGCGGTCCCCCTGTCAGAGCACAACAGCTCACAGGGGAGATCGCCACACTAACATCGAATGTGTTAGTACAGCAATCTAAGTTTTTTTCATTCAGCTCACTGTGTTGAACGAAAAAAATCTTTCCGTTTGTACCTCAGCATTACTCAATAACTGCCAAGCACTCGCTAACAGAGCCAGACTTTTGAGTATGTGGGAAGCATGTGACCTCCCCTATCTGACAGTGCTGGGCACTGAGTGCAATGGATGTAAAATTATTGCTTTATTCAGATGAAAAATAAACCATCAACAACCAGTCATTCACATGCATTTGGAA